CCCTTCCCGGAGGCTCCTCGCGCCGCCCCCGCCCCGGACCTGGGACTCGGTGGGGCCGCCCCTCCCCCCGCCTCGCGTCCCCCTGTCCTGCGGCCCGGCTTCCTCTGCTTGTGTCCACGTATTGAGTCGTCTTCGGCTCTCCAGGCTTTGTGCAGCCCTGTCTGCCCGAACAGTTTGCAGGGGTGCGGGCCAAGCAGTGGAGGGAATGGCTGCGTTGCCGCTGGAGAAGGGGTTTTTCCCGATCGGGGCAGCTCACGGTGTCGATCATTTTTCTGTGTCTGGTTTTGGGGTGTAGGGCGTCTTGGGGAGATCCGGCGAGAAGCTTTTCGGACGCGCGGTGGGAGGGCGTGGAAGACGCGGTGTCATGCACCCCGCCAGGCGACTGCACCCGCGCTGGCTGTGGCTCCGTAGTAAACCGGGGGAGGAGAGTGGCTTCCTGTCGACTTCATTGTCCTGAGATTCAAATGTGGCCTTTCGTATGGGTCCCGTCATTTTATGCAAGGGAAAGAAGAATTAGCAGCTGCCGAACACAGGGCGGGAAGATGTGGGATTTGTATCCTAAAGCACGAAATCTTTGGTTTTTAGTGTTTAGCGGAGTTTTATTTATTTGTTTGGACAATGTAAGCTCCTGGAAGACAAGGACAGAGCCTGTCCAAGCATTGCCAAGATGATCAACATAAAATTACTAGATGACGATGAAGAATGAACTAGGAAGGGCCTGACGACAAAGCTGCTGTGTAGCAGAAAAATGAACCAAGGAAATTGTTTTTTCATTGGGTGGGTAAGGCATTTACGTTCCTAAGGGAATAGATTAGGATACATCTTTCCATTTTGTTTTTTAAGCATTGGAAACAAAAATGGGTCCGGTCTATTTCTGTTTCTGATTTTTTAATTCATGCTTTTATTCTCTTAATGAAAATTCATCCACTTGGGAGAAATGTAGTGAAGCAGGTGATTAATTTCATGGAAAAATGCATCTTTTAAAATGATTGGGTTATTAAACGTACAATGCTTACAACTGTTTGCTGGCGTTAAAACAAGCAGTAGAGATATAGAAGCAGGATGGGGAGGAGCAGGTGAAGGGATAATGTGAGAGGGGAGAGTTACGTTATGAATACAGTATCTCCATCTTCACTGACACATCCGTAGCAGGGTATGCTGCAACTATTTAGGAATTCAGCTCTGGAAATTTACATTGCAAGTTACAAAACCATGTTGTATCTTTCGCCTATTATTTTTTAAGAAGTAAAACCAATTCTGCTTTTACTTTTTCCTAACTTTGTAGATATTGTAGAATTTTGGTGTTTTAAACTGAAGAGTCTAAATGAACTTGACAGAGACAGAGGAAGACATTAAAACTTGGAAAGTTAACTGACTTGTTCGTCCAAGCCAAACTGATAATGAACGGTAGAGTCAAGTAAAACCAGGGTCTCTTCCTCAGTGTGCTCTTTCAAGTGTGTCCCCAACACCCCTACCCTGTGAGAATTTATGGAACGCTTCCCTACACGCTTATTGAGTTGTCTGTGACAATCAAGCTCATTGATAACCTCACTTGTGTTAATCTGGTCTTTTCTTTTAATGTAAAAATAATAATTCTAATGAAGTGGAACTTCAGTTTCATAAATTAACTTACTGATATAGGAAAAGAAGCCTTAACATGACCTTTTCATAAAAACAGAAACTGTTGGAATTTTTCCCCTACTTCTTATTAGTAACCGTATTTTGTTTTTTGGTGGTTTTTTTTTGGTATTCATTAGTATTTTATAGTATGATCAACTCTATAAACTCTGTTAAAAATAAAATCACCACATAAAAAGAATCTGTGAAGTTCATTTTTATTCAATTAATGAATTTTATTGTTTTCAACTTAAATAAGAATTTAGTTTTTGAGGAAGAAATTCATGTTGAACATTTTATTAAAGTTAAATTTATGCTTTTTTTATTGAGTTGATTTTGCTTTCTTGGATTATATCTTTCATCATTTAATTCTGTATTGCATTTAAATAGACTTTAAAAAGAATTAGTATATCTCTTAAATTTCAACTTAAAAATTAATCTGTAATTAAATTCACCATGTGGAATTATACTAAATCAAATTTGAAATATGTTTTACTGTTAAATTTTGTGGGGTTCTAAAATTACTTTTTAGGGAATTAACTATCTGTGTGTTTTCCAACTTAGAATAGGGAAGTTTACACTATAAAATTATGGTATATTATGCCTACTAATATAAGTATCAAGGTGATTTAAAAATTCTGTGCTTAGGGATTTGTTTTGTTTGTTTCAAGTATCAGTTTCTTGTTTTATCACTGAAAAAACAACTAGTTTTGTTGCATCTGATTATAATCAGATATCACTTACCTAGTACTAAGTACTGTGTAGTTTAAACTTGTTGACGTGTTTTTTAGTGAAAATTCTATTCCTGAAAAATAACTTTTCTATTTTAATTAATGTCTAATGATTTTTCTTCTTTATCATGAACATTGTAGGGTTAAGCAGTGCAGTCTTGTAATAAGTATCTAACAGACAGCATGATATTAAATTGCTAGCTAAAATATCTGTACAGTTGTGAATTATTCTGGGAGTAAAACAAAAAAGAAATTACATACCATCTGAAAAATTCTTGGTAGGTAAATAATATTGGCTGGAGCATAAAGTGTTGATGTATTTCAGTAAGAAATGGGTTTCCTCTTATGAGGGGAGAAACCTCTGACACTCTTATTTCATAAACTTTTGTTAATAACCAAGATTTCTAAAAATCAATTACCCTTAGTGAAATAGATCTTTATTTACTCAAATATTTCTGAGGGAAGTGCTCAGCAATGATTTAGCCAGTGTGGGCTATATTAAGCAATAAGAAAACATCTGTCTGATAGTAGGTTGAGTAAACTGTATATATAGTCCAGTATAGTTGAAATATAAATATATTGTTGCATTTTTATATGTATATTTATATATATTTATTTATATATATTTAGGCATGTGTGTGTGTGTGTATATATATATGTATATATATATATTCCAAAATGAATGACATAGCTGACAAGTACTGAAAGTAAAGCCCAGTTTTGTGTCAAACAAAAAGAGGAAATCAACAAAAGCAAGCTTAAAGAAAACCTTATAAAAATTACTTACATCCAGTAGGAATTTTATGAAGCATAGAAATAGAGACAAATGTCAAGCATGTATTGCTTAATTGTAAAACAGAAAACGAGACACAGCCGAGAATGTCATTGTTTAAGTGTATCAGTGGCTAATAAATAATCTAGAAATTATTACCCTTTGGGACATGATAATTATTGAATAAGTGAATAATACCTACCATGTATTGAGCACCTACTAAGTGCCAGACGTGTGTGTGTGTGTGTGTGTGTGCGTGCGTGTGTGTGTGTGTGTAATTCATGCAGTAGTCTTGTAAGTAAGGTATTACTTTACATATTTTAAGTTGAGGATATTTGAGGTCCAGAGTTTGTGAATAATGCCTATGTGTCACATGTTTAGTCTTTCTGACTAAAGCCAAAATTCTTTCCACTCATTTATTTTCAGTAAATTAAAAAGGCAACATTTATTACCTTCTATTCACAAAATCTTAGAGTTACAGGAGACTTTGAAAGTCATCACATACACTGTGCCATTCTCTATAATATCCCTGAGATCTTATTGAGTCCAGCATCTCCATGAATAACACTTCCATGAACAAAATGGACATAGGATGGCGCATTTAGCTTTGAAAAAGTGTAATAGAAAGATCTTTCTTAAACTGAGCTAGTGTCTGCTTTCTATGTAACTTTTTCCGTTGGTTGCAGTTCTGTCTTTAAGATACAGTAAGGTTTTTCTCAATATATGGAGCCTCTGCTAAGTTTTCCCTCTTATGAATTAAATATTACAACCCCTACAACTTCATATGATACTGTTTCCTTCCTTTTCTCATCTCTGTCACTAGATTCAGTCAGTCTTGTCAGTGATAGTCTTTATGTTCTGATCCAGTTTCCAGATTTAGTTCTGCAGTTGTGGTCTGAATGCAGTGTAGTACAATTATTCCTTTCCTTAACTCAAGCCGTACAGTTGTGTTTACAGTCTAAAATTGTGTTAACTCTAACACCAATAATAGCTTTGCCACTTCTAAGCA